GTATTCGAGATGAAACGGAAAGAGAATTGACGCCAGACGAGAAGGCAGCAGTAGCCCAAGTAACAGAAACATTACGTTTGAGAGACGGTCGATACGAGATTGGCATTCCGTGGAAAAGAGGCGAACCACACCTAGTAAACAACTACGAAATGGCTTTAAACAGACTCAAGACCCAAGAAAGATCCCTAGTACGAAAAGGTTCCGAAGTAGCAAACACATATGACGAGATCATCAAGGATTACGAAAGAAAAGGCTATGTTAAAAAAGTGCCCAAGAGCAATGAACTTGAACAGTGGTTTCTCCCACATTTCCCAGTGATAAGACAGGATCGAACAACAACTAACGTGCGTATGGTCTTTGATGCCGCTGCCAAAGACAACGGGAAATGTCTCAATGATGCTGTGCGGCCTGGTCCGAAACTTCAAAGAGAGTTAACTGATGTATTGACACGCTTTCGACGAGCCCCTATAGCCCTATCTGGAGACATCTCGGAGATGTTTCTACAAGTTGGTCTTATTGAGGAAGATCGACGTTACCACAGGTTTCTCTGGCGCGACTTTGATTCAAGAAAAGATCCAGATCACTACGAGTTTAAACGACTCCTGTTTGGTAACAGGGCTTCCCCATTCTGTGCACAACACGTTGTGCACACCCACGCGAAAGTTCACGCTGCAGATTACCCTCATGCTGCAGAAACTGTTGACAATTCTATGTATGTGGACGATGTGTTAGACTCATTTGAGACGGTAGACGAGGCTATACAACTACGACATGAACTGTCAGAGTTGCTTGCTATGTGCAATTTCAAGCTGAGAAAATGGTCATCCAATGATTCCACCGTCCTGAACGACATTCCGACAGAAGACCGTCTGCAGAGCTTTGAGATCCATGACACGGAGGAGTCCCCCAAGACAAAGACTCTCGGTATACTGTGGGAATCAACGAGCGATGTTTTTACTTTCCGGGTCCAACCACCCAATGTGGATATGAAGTTGACAAAAAGAAACGTTCTCAGCACTATAGCGACTATCTTTGACCCACTGCAGTTCTTGGCCCCCTTCACCCTACGTGCTAAGATTTTGATGCAGGAAATCTGGATAGCTGAAATCGGTTGGGACGATCTCCTTACAGACGGATTGATTTTCAAGTGGAAAAAATGGGTCTCGGAACTACGTGAATTATCGCAGGTCACTATTCCTCGAAGTCTCCGTCTACCCAGTCCTTCCCAAAGTCGGTTACACGTATTTTCAGATGCATCAAAAGAAGCTTATGCTACGGTAGCCTACTTAGTTTGTCGATATTCTGACGAGAGCACGACCTCGAGAATTGTTGCGTCGAAAAGTAGAGTGGCACCAACAAAAGCAGTGACGATACCACGGCTAGAACTCATGGGTGCAGTTCTTTCCACTCGACTGGCAAAGAACATTAGCAAGACCTTAGAAGTTGGAGAACCTATATTCTGGACTGACTCGACAAACGTGTTGTACTGGATACGAAACCAAAGTCGTGATTTCAAGCCGTTTGTAGCCAACCGAATCGGCGAAATTCACAGATCCACTAACCCAGAGCAGTGGAGACATATACCTGGAGAGTCGAATCCAGCAGACCTGCCAACAAGAGGATTGTCAGCCACAGACCTAGCAAACAACGAATTGTGGAAGAAGGGACCAGAAATTCTACAACAAGACGAGTCAACATGGCCCCCTCAAATCCCCAACGAAGAAATTCAGAGAAATATTGTCGAAGGCGAAAGACGAAAGGTTAACGTTACTCACACAACAAGGGACAGTTCAAACCAAAGTCTCATTGATCCAAATCGTTTCTCGAGCTTTCAAAGATTAGTGCACGTCACCGGATGGGTTCGACGTTTCCTGAGTAATTGCAAACAGCCTAACGAAAACCGAGAAAAAAGTCGGACGCTCCGAGCACAAGAATTACAGCAAGCAGAGACATATTGGTTTAAACGAACACAGAGCGAGGCGTTTCCCGACGGTGTGAAAGAAAAGTGTTTGATTCAATTAAATCCAAAGAAAGACGAGAATGGGTTATTACGATCTGACGGCTGATTACGCAACGCCACTGACGTGCCATATGGTGTTAGACACCCCATTTTATTACCCAAAGATCATACTGTAACACGTCTGATAATTATAAGTGCACACGAAAATCTCGGACACGGTTCTGGTGTTGAACATGTTCTAACTGAGCTGCGTGCCCGATTCTGGATAATCAAAGGAAGACGAACTGTGCGAAATACGATTGAAAAGTGTCCTGGCTGTCGTAGACGATTCACCGGAAAACCAACTACTCAAATGATGGCTCCGTTACCGATGTCAAGATTGCAATGCCCCCTACGAGCCTTTGAACGCGTTGGTGTGGATTACGGCGGACCATACTTGACCAAACAGGGAAGAGGCAAGACAAGAGCAAAACGTTACCTGTGTCTATTTACTTGTCTTACTACACGGGCTGTACATTTGGAAATGGCGTATTCCCTGGATACAGATTCCTTTATAAACGCGTTTACCAGGATGGTAGCAAGGAGGGGGAAGCCGACATACGTAGTTTCTGATAACGGTACCAACTTTGTTGGAGCGGAACGAGAACTGCGAGAGTTAGCAGAAGCATTTGATCTAGAAAAAATTACAAACAAGACAACACAAGATTATGCGATGGAGTGGAAGTTCAATCCACCATCGGCCCCACACTTCGGTGGTGTATTCGAGGCAATGATCAAGAGTGCTAAAAAAGCCATAAAAGCTATTCTTGGTAATGCGGACATTACCGACGAGGAACTTCATACTGCCATTTGCGATGCAGAACGTTTATTAAACTCACGACCAATCACCTTCATCAGTTCAGATCCTGATGATCTTTCCCCGTTGACCCCGAGTCATTTCCTTATCGGACAGTTGGGAGGAAAATTTGCTCCTGAAACCGCAGATCGAGATGAAGTTTTCAACCCCCGAAAGCGTTGGCATCGTGTACAGCAGTTGGTGGGGCAGTTTTGGAAACGCTGGAGGAGAGAGTTTCTGCCGAGCTTAAATACACGAAAGAAGTGGTTTCATCCGACACACAACCTAAAGGAGGACGACGTAGTGATGTTAGTAGAGCCGAATGCAAAGAGAGGAGAATGGCCTCTTGGTCGAGTTATCGAAGTAATTCCTGGAAATGATGGATTGGTACGAGTTGTAAGGATAAAAACGAAAGACGGTGAATACTTGCGTCCGGTGCACCGGTTGTGCCCTTTTGAATACGCAGGAGACAATTCATAACGCTCGGACTGTTACCTAAGACATTGAACACATCGCAGTTATATATTAACTAGTTTTGTTAGTTGGGTTCGAATGTTTTTACATTCGGGAGGGGGATGTTTCTGTCCTTATGACAGCATCCAGTTAAAAATAGAGATCAGGAATGCGACCGCAAAAGACAAGGACCGCGGGCGCAAAAACGTGAGACGAACGTTTTATTGTCGTATCGAAAGATTGTTTTGCGAATTCCGTTAAATATTATGTAAATTTCTTGTTAAAATACACGAAAAAACTGAAAGCTATTTGTTCCACGTCAAAATCGTCTTGACTTTTCTCACGATGGAGAAACAATATATATTGCACTTTATACATGTGCAAGTACTCGAGCAGTTCATCTGGAATTGGTTCCAAACCTGACAGCTGATGCGTTTATTCGATCATTTAGGAGATTCATTAGTCGAAGAGGTATTCGAAAGTTTATATTGTCGGACAACGCTAAAACATTTAAGTCCTCAAGCAATAAATTGTCAGCATTACTCGATTAACCGGAAGTCCAAGAATTGTTACAGTCCAGACGAGTTGAATGGAAATTCATAGTTGAAAAGGCCCCTTGGTGGGGTGGGTTCTGGGAGCGAATGGTCAAGTCGTCGAAGCGTTGTTTAAAGAAAACATTAAAGAATGCGAGATTAAGTTACGATGAACTTAATACAGTTCTTACGGAAGTGGAAAGTGTACTAAACTCAAGACCTCTGACGTATGTTGAATCTGGCGAAATGGAAGAAGCTTTAACACCTTCTCATTTATTAATGGGAAGACGTTCAATTTTGATGTCAAATTCTAAGTGTGAAGGAGAAACCGCAGACATCTCTGGAACGGAGTTGACAAAAAGAGCGAAGTATCTATGTAGGTTAACTGACAGTTTCTGGGAAAAATGGCATAAGGAATATCTTCTGAGTCTTCGGGAACAACATCGTGGCTCGTTGAGCGTGACGAAAGAAACATCTATCAACATTGGTGATGTAATTAGTGTGCATGACGAGATCTCGAGCAAAGTGGCGTTTGGCAAGAGTTCATGTGCTAATACGTAGAACAGATGGGAGAATACGCGCTGCTGTTATTAGAATTGCGGGGGACAGCAAGAAACCAACGTACATACGGCGTCCCGTTCAAAAACTGTTTCCATTGGAGCTTAGGAACGAACATACCCAAAAGGATGAAAAGGAGGATCGTAGACCAAGAAGAAAGGCAGCAATTGTCGGAGAAGTAAAGAGACGTTGTGTTGACAAATAAGTTGTCAAGGCGGGAGTGTACGAACTTTTGAGCCAGCAGTCAATCACATCGATGGATTCGGAAATGACAATTAGGATGTGGATACCCTTCAGACCTTCGGAATTGTAATTCACACCTTTAATTCCGGCGTCCTTTCCCATTCATCCTTTCCCAAACTTAACTCTGTGTTTCGCAATCAAATCTCTTTCGCCTATGGTTGAGATGATGACCGTCATGTCCTTGTAGTTAGTATACTTACGTATACACATTCTCCCGATACGATCCACCTTTTCCGGACAGTTGAAGTAAAGCTTAACTTTGGTATCTGTTCTTCTGAAACTCGTCATGATTGTTTTATTTGTATGTAGGAAAGCCTTGTCTATAAATTGTTGATTTCAAACTCAAATCTACTTGAGACCTACCTAAAATTATTTTGAGACCATACTTAAAATTATTTTGAGACGCTTTCAAGCAAAGTTAAGGACCATTAAAATTATTTTGAGACACTTTTAAGCAAAATTAAGATCACTTAGGTTTTACTTGGACCATACTTAAAATTATTTTGAGACGCTTTTAAGCAAAATTAAGAGTATTCGTCCCCTACAGCGTACACTGGTTTAAAAGAAAGTCAGATCTCCTCCCATTTTCATCGAAAATCCCGAATATTTCGCTTTCTTAACCATCTTGCCAGGTCCCTACCTGGCGTGGGTGTAAGCGAAGCGTGGAAATGAGGATCGAACACACTAGGGCGTGCATATTTAAATTTCACTAAGTAAAATAAAACATGTCAGAAGTTGGTATGGTGGTGGGTATTACTGTGAGACTTGGATTCCTCTACATCATGTGGTGTAATCATCGGGAAAAGGGCGAAAAGCTGGAGGAAAGCAAATTCACAGAAAAACCGCAACCCGCACCAAAATCGCAGGGTGGTCCAGACCTGTTCGACTGAAAAAGAAAATAAAGAATATAATAAAACAATGTTACAGTTATTCTTGGACATACTGACCTTTACCACCGTTGCATTGATCTACATCCGTATGTGTGAACGAAGGAAAACTTCACTTGAGAAACACTGCACGACTTTGAATGTAAGAAGGGAGAGTCAGACCACTGATCTAATAGTAGACTGGATATAGCTTCTCTAGGTGTGAAAAGTGAAGCCAAATTATATATGCGAAAATCACTTCCGGGGACCACGGAGTGATACAAATTACTATAGAAATGTATGGCGAACAACGTGAACCAAGGTGAATATTCCCGAATTTGAGATACTTTGCGAAGTTTTACCAAGCTGATTGCTCCACCGTGGGTAAAAGATGTTATGTTAATGCTTTTAAAACGAAAATTATCCAGATTGCCCTAAAATATCGTCAGTTTTGTTCGTTCAAAGTTGTCCATGCGGGAATAATATTTTATCGCCACAGTGGTATGACAGCACAATTTCTAGTTTGCTTTCCAATTACGGAGACAGAATATGATCAAGCAAACTTTTAAAGGGAAGTAAGTAGTTCATTTATCATTTATGTTTAACCTTGATCGACCAGAAGGTTTCAAACTTTCAATTATCCATCTTAAAATAAGCCTTTTTTACAAAATATATAGACAGTAGTCAGTAGATGTTTTCAATTATTAAATAGTTCTAAAGATATGTAATAAATATATTTGTACTTTTAGTACTTGTTTTTATTTGTTATTCTGTTAAACTGGAAGACAATCTTATTGAAGCTTTCTGTAGTAAGAGTGAATCTACTTTTACATTGCAGTTGAATGTTGAACTTTCGGTTGCAGAGAGTAATTTATTGTTCTTATAGTGCAGAGACTCCAGAGGCTGAGTGTATTGTTCATTAATTTTGATCATTCATTTATATATAAACGTTTGCTATTGTAAAATATCCATTGGTGCTTTTCTATGGTGTCCCATGTCCGCCAAAAATCAACTTTTGCATTTCACTATATGATATTTTGAGGATCATATTCATTTCATTAAAATAACAACATTGTTTTTGAAGATCACCGGTTTATCGGTTGAAAACACAACTTATTTTTTGAAGACCAACTTTTGAGGACCAACTTTTGATACCCAACCGCAATCCAATGTCTTTGTTGTTCGCGGGCGCATTTATTATGTTTTCAAAATGGAGGAAGAAGACAAACAATACTTGCTACAGGCAATTTTTGATATGATAAATTCCATCGACCGTTTTTCACAGTCTCGAGACGCTAATGTAGACTACCAAGAGCTTATGCTGAAACTTGATTTTTTACAATAGTAAATATGAATCTTGATTATTCGATATGTGCAAACGTTGGAGAGACATATAACATTCTTTTCAATATGGAACAAATAGAACACCAATCCAGACAATAGGATATCCGAAGGGGGTAGGGGGGTTAACTTCTAATTTCCAGTTGTGGGAGTGGTATGGGGGGCCCCCCATGAGCCCCTTGAATTCACACATTCACGCCAAAAAAAATTCCAAATAACACGTCACGAAAAAGAAATAGCTAATTTCACGTTCACACGGGGGCAAAAACTATAGCATACTTACTGAATTTGATAGAATGTATTAGGGCGTCGAACATGTGCAGAAAATGGTACTGTAGGCGCGCATTTTTCTGTTTGACACTTAATTTACCGAATTTTCTGATCAAATATTTTAATCTTATCTCCAACAAGACTACCATTGGTAAAGACAACATGGTCAACAGGTATTTTGAAACGCATTTAAACATACTGTTTAATTCATTGAGCCGGCTAAAACTGGCAAATCGAGAAACATGAAACTACGTCGTTAATGAACAATCTTAAGAAATTAGCGGCTCACCTCAAGCAAATCTACTATTGAAACGAACTGTTCTTCCATCATGCCTAATTTTAAGAATTTTTTATCACTGCACATTTTTGTGCAAAGTTTAGCCGAGCAGAAGCCACGCCCTCAAAATTACTGAACGCACCATTTTTAGTAACATGTAACCAATCAACATGCACTGCACGGCGCCCCCCAGGGAAATTTGGGGGGCCAGGGCAAAAATTGAGTTGTGACCCCTCGTGATTCCATCTTCTAACAGTATGATTAAGGGGATCCGGGGGCATTCTCCCCAGGGAAATTTTGAAATCTCAGGTGCCAGAAATGGCCAAATCCTGCATTCTGGAAGTTTGTTGGCACTTATACCTATATGAATAATTCAATGTAATTCTTTTTTGGGCTACCTTTAACTGGGGTCCAGCTCAAATTGCCCCCTCCCTGTCCTTCCTCTGGGCGGCCTTGACAGCACTTGCTGTTACGACTTTCTATGACAGCGTAGTTTGATAATCATATGCTTGCAGGAACGAAATATTTTTTTCTTGGCAAATAAGAGGCGGCTTAGATGTGATAAACTGTAAAAGAGTTCCAGGGGCATGTACCCACAGAAAATTTTGTAATCTAGCCTCTCTCAAAGGGTCTTTTTTCAATGTGTGGGGGCATTCTATAGAATCCTGAAGATTATACACTAATATAATTACAAAAAGTTAAGTATCATTCACACCAACATCCAAGCTCATAAAGAGATCATTGATGGGAGACTTTGTTCATTTGATGAAACTTAAGTATAATATTAATGCTGACGTTCGATAAATTGGCAGTTATTATTTCAATTTCATTCAAGTTATTCTCATTTAAAATGTTTTGATTATTAATACTTTCTAGTGACGAGACGAGTTTTTAGTTCAGTTTTTTCTGCTCATTGCCTCATTTTCTTCATAAAATTAACAATTTATCACAGCAAATTTTATTGCTGCACATTTTACATTTAATCACTGCACAATCATTTTTATCACTGCACAAATTGGTTATCACTGCACACTAAAATTAGGTATGTCTTCCATATCTCGAACGTCCACCAAGAAGAAATGATGTCTCCCTTCCGACTTCGGCAGTTTAAAGTCCTCCGAAAGTTTGAAAGTAGCAGTCCGGAAGTGGGAATGTGCCGAGTCGTCGAAATAGCCTGAAATCATTATTAAGGGCTATTAAGGCCAAATAAGTTGTTCTCTT